CATTTAAGACAGTGCAGCTCTTGAGAGTGAGGCTAACTTTAGACGCCCCTGAGGCAAACGCAACAAGCGCAGACCTAACACTTCACAGACCCAGCTCCCTCCAGAAACCCGGTGGCTAACTCAGAACACATGACTCCTCGTTTACATCCTGCCTTTGGCTTTCTGCTGTCATAAAGCTTAATGTAACGTAATAAAAAACAGCCGCACCACTTTGATGCCAGCTTAGGATGATAAACACTTGGATGCATGAATTGTTGCATGCGCATCATCCACGCTGACATGTGCGAGACTGCTGCAGTCCTGGACGACGGCCAGGGCCGCTTCGTCTTTGAGCACGTTGCTTTTCTCCCCTTATCTGTCGGCGCGCCGTTTCCCCTCCGCTCTGCTTCTCCGTTTAAATGTTACAGTGACTCATTTCTACATAGTTTGTGAAAGACTCATTTAAGTCAAAAGTGCAGTTTTTTGACAGGTGGATAAAATGTCATGTGTAACAATCTCAAAATACTTTTAAACACTGTCCTTAGTGATTCCAGACTAAATATATTGTGTCCCAAACCCCTTTATTTAACAGAAACTTGAGAAAGAGCTTAAATCGGACTTTACACGAGGCTGTAGCAAATATCCCTCTTTAAACACTTGTAATTGGAGATTTCTCCACATTAATCCTCTCAGCCCTCAGTGCTGCCTTTTATTTTCCCCCTTTAACCGAGGGCTTTTAGCTCATCTTCTACTTTTTGTAGCACATTCCTGCTCGCAAATGGCAACTCATGCCTTAAAGTCATCACATGAGGGCCGTCACGTGGTTTAATGTTTTGTTCGCCACATGCTTCCGTCAAACATGCTGCTTTTATTTTCAACAGGATGCCTCGCAGGCTTTGAAACGGACCTTCCCCGCTCGAGCTTTAGGTTCATTTTAAACACGGAGGGAAAGTACTGTAAAAGGTGGCTCTGTTCCGTCTCTATTAGATGAAACAAAGTTGGTTCAAACACACACACACACACAAAAAAGGTTTGATGTCTGGTCTGTTCGTTCACGCATCTGGTTTATATTGAAGGGCCGTTGCTGCTTTCTCTTGATCTATAAGATCGGTGCGTCTGTCTCCTGCTGCAAACCGTTTTGAAACAGTAGACAGAATGGAGTTTAATGAGGGGTTTTGCCAGGTACATAGTGATGAAGAACATACCCCGAGCTCCCCCGTTGTCTCGTTAGTCTATAAGATCCAGGGGATGAATGCATGAACATACAGCTCATATTATATCCAGCAGGAGGTCCAAATGCTAACATTTTTTCCATTTATTTTTTAAAAGGGGACAATGCAATTTAATAAAACATATGACAATTCATAAGTTAAAAAAAGCCAGAATTAGCCAAACAGCAATTTTTCATCTGTAGTCCCCTGGCCATGATGTTAAAAAGCAGTCTGATACAAGAATAAAATACTGTAATAACACACAATAAATAAAAGCAGGAAATTAAATTAATCATAAAAAATAAAAAAACACAATACAACACATTAAATACAGCTTATATTTAGTGTTTGCAGATGTAACAATCAACAAGCCATTTTTTTAAAGATGCTTAGTGAAAGACTTATAAGTTGATAGCTGTCTAATTTCATCTGGTAGTGAGTTCCATTCCTGAGCACCTTTCACAGACCGAACTGACTGACCAAAGGTGCTTCGCCTCAAAGGGACAACACAGCCTCCTCTAACAGAACCTCTCGTCACACGGTCACTGCTATTTCTCTGACTGATAAACTCTTGAGAGTGGGGATAAATTATGAGTTACCTTATAAATCAAGCATAAATCAGCAAATTTATGAAGGTCAGTCCAATTTAGAAAATGATACTTTTTAATGTTTCACAGTAATGATAGTGTCTTGGTTTCTTGTCCATAACCTTAATGGCTTGCTTCTACAATGTTTCAATTAATTTCATTGTACTTTTAGAGACCTGTGACCAGCTAGTTATACAATAAGTTAAATGGCTAAAAATCATACTATATAAAAACATCTTTGCTGCCTCAGTAGACATTCCATTCCTGACTGAACGAAAATAACGTTCTGACTGGTGTGTTAAAAAGAAAAGGCATCATTACTTACAAAGTTACTTATTACCTCTGTTTACCAAGATTTCTGATGGTAGTCTGTGTGCTGTACTTTGGACCTTTAGCGGATTGTTCTCCAGTCAGAATCTCTCTTAACTGATGAGACTAGCTGCTTCGTACCAGTCACTAAACAACACACTGTGGTTAACTCTGTGTACTTGCCGCTGCAAAAATGAGCACATCTGCTCACGCACCCAGAAACACGCCTCCATGCCCTGCGTGTCCGTGCAAGACACAGAGCTTGCACTCGGTGACCCTCAGATGACGCCACACCTGTGAACTGTGTGTGATTGAACAATGTTTACGCGTTGGCTCTTGGCTACCTGTGGGTCAGTGACTCTCAGCACTCCGTATCTCAGGCAGGAAAGCTGATTACCACGCCTTGGCTGTGGAGTAATGCCGTCTGAATGTTGTTTGCTCTGTTTAAAGTTCCCGTTGCGGCAGAGAGAGCAGGTTCTTCGTAATGTTTTCCACAGCCATGATTGTGTCCGCAGCAGACGCCCGTGCCATGCTGGGAGGCAATCTGTTGTGCAGGGTGACTGTTTATAGGGAGCTGACTCACTGTATGCTTGATATAGCTTTTTAACTTTTTTTTCTGTCATTGTGTCTCAGGTGGCTCCAGAAATCGGATCAGTAAATGGCAAAGGCATGGTACAGATGGATGGCACCCACATGGGAGGGGACGAAGATGAGGGAGAGAAAGGCCACATACCATGTATACAATCCCCCATGGCCCAGTCACTTACCCACTACCTGGTCTCAGACCATGGTGGTCAGTCTGCACTTATTAAACAAGAGCCCGGGGCGGATCTGAACAGCACTGCACTTCAACACGTACGCTCTTCTGTGACTTTTCTGAACGGTTCAAACGAGAGCCTTACGAAACTGAATGGTGCTAACACGACCAGCGGGTCACACTCCGTTCTGAAATCTGCATGTAAAAGGACAGCGTCCGAGCTTCAAAGGACTATAATGACGGCGGTCCCGAAAGTCAGCCCTGAGAACGGACCCAGGATGCCTCCAGGTGACTTGCCGGCTCCACTGAAGAGGATCAAACTGGAGGAGCCGTGGATGTGGATCAGCGAGCAGAACGCCACGCGGCTGAGTGATGCGGAGGATGTGTGCGATGACCCGCTGTCGGTGCTGGCAGCTGTGGTCTGTCTGTCCGTCACAGAGAGGAAAGGACTGGAAGACAAACTGTTCGGATCTCGTTCTTCCATTCTTCGCTCCATTAAAACAGAGCCGGCAGAGTTGCACATAGTCAAAACGGAAAAAGTGGACTTAAAGAACACCTTGTGTCCAAAAAGCACTCCTCTCAACTTGCAAAGGATTCCTCAACCTGTTAAACGCGAGCCTCCTCCTAGTGTCCTGTTACCGAGTGTGCAGTCTTTGGCAGAGAAGAGGAATCTTAGTTTCGATCAAGCTGTTGCTATTGAGGCCCTGACTCAGCTGGCAGCTATACCTCAAAGCACCGCAGGTTCCATTAAGGCTGAAAGTAACTGTGAACATCCCATTTCTTCTTCCCCTTTCTCGATTTCCAACACAAACGCTGCTGTACAAGAAGCCAAGTCGACAGCAGTGGTTCACTACAACAAAGTGTCGGTTATCAGCTCACCACTACACCAGACGTCTGTGATACGCCCTCCCATGGCCAGGCAAGGAAACGTCATCCAGTGCTCCCGCAGGTTGAGCTCTGACTCTGATAACAAAACATCCTGTAGGTGGACAGAGCAGGGTTACGGTCCGCATGTCATCAAAACGCAAAGCAGCTACAAGGAGTCCAGTCACATAAAGCTCAGTAAGGATCATGAGGAGGATAGAGACAGTTTCGTCAATAGTTTGAGAAGAAACAGAGACGAGGAGGAAGTGGCAGCTCAGCTGGCAGATCTAGCCTTCATCATCCAGTCACGACACAACCAGCAGTCGGAGAACAACCCTCCAAAGGGAACACCTGTTTCCGCCATCAAATACAACTACAAATCCCAGCAACACCCCAGTCAGAAGAAGACCCTTGTGAAAAAGAATAAAGCTACACCCCCAAAGCCACGGAAAAGGAAAAGTGATGGGTCACAAGAGGGCAACAACCGCAGGACCCCTCTCTCTAAATGCATGCCAAATGGAGAGATGGCCTACAGGGGCAAGGGCCAGAAGAGCCTCCTGCGTGGGATATCAGGCCAGCAACAAAAGAACAACTTATTTCTGCCTCTGGCTCAAATTGATCTGAAGAAATACGTGGCTGAGGCTCAAGAGGGAAGGAAGCAGCTCATCAATCACAGCAACACTCACAATGCAAGCCTCTTTGATCAGCAGGCGCTAAACTGCGGCACACTTATTCGGACGAATCCCACCTGTGGTCAAGAAAACCAGCCGTGGCCTCTTTCTAATGGTCACCAACGCAGTCCGTGCAATGGTTTCCCTACAGGACCGGAGGAGTGTCGTTTGTTATCTCAGGTAGAGCAGCCCTGCGTTGGGCTGCAGCACGGTGCTGACCCGAACGTCAGCCCGGCGAAAGCATCCGTTCACAGCCACGCCGGTGAGCACCACAGGCTGGCTAACGGGTTCTCTGGGGCTCCTCGATCCCCTCCTCCGAGTCAGCAGGGTTACTACAGGTTGGAGGCATCAGGACCTGTCACCATCCTGTCCACGGCGACCGACGGGGTTCAGGGCCACTCCACCGAGTCGACACCAACCAGGAACAGCGTCAACAGTTTTCTGGAGTCTCCGATGAGTTTTCTAGACACGCCTACCAAGAACTTGCTCAATACACCTTCCAAAAAACTGGCTGATCTTCCATCCTGTCAGTGCGTGGGTGAGTTGGCTCTGTTTTTTAATTATTATTATTATTATTATTGTTGTTGTATTTGAACTGAATGCAACAGTGTTTACAGAAAAGCTGTTGTCTCCTTCACAGACCAAATCATTGAAAAGGAGGAAGGGCCTTACTATACTCATCTGGGGGCAGGTCCTAGTGTTGCTGCAGTGAGGGAACTGATGGAAAACAGGTAGGCTGACAACAAAATGTTTTTTCACAGTGTACTGAAAACTCATGAGCCAAAAGTAACCACAGACTGAAAGAAAAAAAACATGTAGTTCAACTAAAGGTAAGTGTTTGGTAAAGCAGCTTTGCCCATGCACCCTGTTAATGTTAAAGTTTTCAATGGCAGAAAGGACCTCTTAAAGTGCCTGTGACATCAAATTTTGTAATAAATATGAACACATTTTTGGAAAGATAACATAAATAACACATTGCAAAACTAATTTCACACCGCTGAGCTGAACGGTTGTTGAGATGTTTGCATGTGAAGAAACAGGAAGTGACGTCAAAGGGGAACGTAAAGAGAGCATTGCTGCAACAGCTAAGACAGACTGTGGAGAAGAATCTGATGTTTCTTCAGATTATTTTGAGTCATCAGAGAGATGAAGAACAGTTAAAGTTTAAATATTGTTTTAATAAAGACCAAAGTTGTCTTTCTTAAAGAGTTCCCCTTTGACGTCACCTCCTGTTTCACTTTAGCTGAACCAAGTTCAAAAGAAAATGTGCGATTTATGTGACAAAATGAGTAAAATCATGTGTATTATGCAAAGTTTCTTAAATATGAAGTTGTTTTATTTGACTTTCTGTATCTGAAGGATAAACACATCACAGGCACTTTAATGAAAGTAATTTACTGTTAGCTGAAAATTCATTCAGGTTGTCCTGGAAAATAATTATACCTCTGCTGATTATTAAGTTCATACTGCCTTGACATTTCRTTTTGTATCTTTTTGATAACTGCTACAATTTGTTATAATCTGTCCTTATGATTTCGGGGCGCCACAGATGACATTCATAATCCTTTTCTGATTGTATATCTACTGGAACATGTAGACTAACACAGTGGAGATGTAAAGGAGAGAGCAAAGTCTGGTTATTGTTGTTTGAAGGAAAAGGCTGCCGTGGGACAAACGGCTTAATCCTTAATGATGGAAATGGCTCAGAACACGCAACATTGCAGCTCACTTCGTGTGAAGCTGTGTGGGCGCAGAACCAGTCAGAATGTGCACAGTGACTTGTGTTCTCAAGCAAACGTGTCTGAAGTTGTCATGGGAAAGTCTGATGAAGAACCGAGCACAGGAATGGGTGTCACAGATTACATTTACATCACATTAAAGGCCACTTGTATGTAAACTATTTACATTTGGAGACAGCATCAAGAAGTCCTGTGGGAACACGCAGGGGCAGCCTAATCGTTTGTGCAGCGTTCTGCTGGGAAACTACACATCCGACTAATTTTACTTAAGAAACACCCTGCTCTTTAGTGAGCAGGTTGCAATTTAAAGTTTAAATCTCAATCTGATTTGGAGTTTATTTTGGACCTAAAAAAATCCATCCCGAACCCAAAGACGTTGAATCTGAGCTCAAATCCAACCCCGACTAATTAACTCTAATGAGAGGCCTGAGCCCTGAGTACATATTTTAATTACCGTATTTATGTGGGTTTACTTTGATCATCATTTTATGAGCTTAAAAAGCCTAAAAAATCAAATCCTAGTATAAAATGCTTTCCCTAATTTTATACAGACTTCGCCTTTTTCAGCCGTTGCGGGTGCACACACCTGTGGTTGTGTTTGTAGCTGCAGTGCTAAAAACTAAAAACTGTCCAGTCTGGTCCGATCCGACAGCAGGAGCCGGTTGTTAAATTAGCGAAGTTAGTAGCTTTAAGAGCTGCTCGCGGACATGTACTTGATATTCAGGTCTTCCCACAATCTCCACCCTGTGGTTAGCAAAAAAGGAAATAAAAACATTTTTTTCTTCTTGGACTCCGGTGACAAAAAAACACCAGCTGTTGTGTTTATCTGCTGAGCTGCGCGACGTACAGCCGGAGGACAGAGGGAGAAATTATCTTCCTTTACACCCGTGACATAATATTTCAGTTATAGGCCTATAAATATTTAATGTATGATGGTAGAAAAAAATATTTCAGTTTTTGGGGTTAAATTTTTATACGGGCATAAATATACAGTAGTAAGGGTTTAGTGCTTTCGTTGTTGACAGATGGGAGCAGAGCAGAGTGAGGCCACGTGTGCATTAGTGGTGCATTCACTTCTGCACCTTAGACTAAATTAACTCATTAACTAAATTAACTAAATTAAAAAAAAAGACTAAATTAACTCATCTTTAGATTGTGCATTTAATTTTCTCTGTGTGTTATGTATTGTGTGCTTATAAAAAACGCGCCACAGAAGCCCGGCTTGACCATCAAGCATATAATTTCAGCCCGAATTCAGGTTGGGTCGGGCTCGAGGCTAAACTCTTAATCTGATTAAACACTTGCACTGTAAAAACAAGTCCTGTCCACTGAGCTTCGCAGTTCTCAGTAATTAAACAATCACTTAAGGATGTATAACAATATTCTGTCTCGTGCTGCAGGTATGGTGCCAAGGGGAATGCAGTGCGGGTGGAAGTGGTTGTTTACACTGGGAAAGAAGGCAAGAGCTCCCAGGGGTGTCCGATAGCTAAATGGGTATGTTGTTTGCATGTAGTCCGTTTGTTTGTTCTGACCGACTTGTTTTATGAGCAAACATGCAAAATCCTCTGGCAGGTGATCCGACGCTCCAGCGAGGAGGAGAAGCTGCTGTGTTTGGTTCGCAAAAGGCCAGGGCACCGCTGTGACACAGCCGTGTTGGTGATCCTCATTCTGGCATGGGAGGGGATCCCTCACTCGATGGCAGACTACCTCTACCAGGATCTCACAGAGAGCCTCTTTAAATACGGCTCCCCCACCTGCCGGCGCTGTGCCCTCAATGAGGAGTGAGTATCTTTTTACCTTTTCTGTGTTTTTTTTTTTTTTTCATTTAGCTTCTTGATCCCGTAATTTTTCATTTCCTCACTGGCTCCATCCCCTCCATCCCTGCAGCCGTACGTGTGCATGCCAGGGCTTGGACCCGGATACTTGTGGCGCCTCGTTCTCCTTCGGCTGCTCCTGGAGCATGTACTTCAACGGCTGCAAGTTTGCTCGCAGCAAAGTGCCCCGCAAGTTTCGCCTCCTTGGAGACTACCCGGAGCAGGTGAGGGAATGTCGGTCTGTGTTGATTTGAAGACACAAACAGTGACAAATGAATTGTTTCCATAGCTCTCTCTACTGCCATGCCTGAAGTTTTTATTGTGTTTTGCCTCCTAGTGGCTAATGTTGGCACCGACATCCACGCCTAGGAGCACAACAGCTCCACAAACAAAATTAATTTTTAGGTCAATCGTTGCTTGTCTGTAAGATCTTTGTTTTGTTCCTTTCAGGAGAGGAAAGTAGAGAACAACCTCCAGAATCTTGCCACTGATCTGGCTCCACTCTACAAAAAACTGGCTCCTGAAGCTTTCCAAAACCAGGTATGAGACATTAAATAGACAGGACTCTGATTTTCATCCTGATGATTTATTTGGAGTTTTCTGTTTTTGGTTTAAATCATGCTAATAGTTTCCTCTAATTCTGATGTGTGCAAGCTTTCCTGCACAACTAAAAATCCTGGAGAAGTACAGGTCTTTGAGAGATGGCAGATTGTAGCAAATCACCTTTTAAAAAAACAAGCTAACGTTTCTAAAGTCTTTACAATGATGAGATGTTCAAAACTCTTACCTGTTTCTTTTTTTTTCCTCCTTCAACCCCTGGCAGGTTGAAAATGAAGCAGGCGGGGGGGATTGCCGGCTTGGCGGGAAGGAGGGTCGTCCTTTCTCCGGGGTCACAGCTTGTGTGGATTTCTGTGCCCACGCTCACAAGGACACCAGCAACATGAACAACGGCAGCACTGTGGTAAGCAGGCTGAGAGTGTGACCCTCTGCAGACAAGCGTCTACATGAGAACAAATACAATAATCGAAATACAGAACTCAGTCAGGACTGTGAGCAGACTCTGTGCTTTTAATTTAACCAATTTAAACTCGCAGATAAAGCAGAAAATCATCTCATTTTTAAGCTGTAAGTTGGAATACAGAGGTTTTCATCAAAGCTGGGCTTTCTTTGTGTAAGCAGGCTTAACAAAACCAAAGCCTTTTCTCATAAATAAATTTACTTTAACTGTGGTTACGGTCCAATCTGTGTTTGGTAGATCGTTTCTTTGTTGTAACAATGAATCTGATTGGCAGCACCTGAGGGTACCAGAAGCTCATAACAAGTGTCAATAGTGACAGCAACATAAGCTGTTTGGCAAAGAAGATTTGGAAGATTTTTCATGTGCACAATCCACATGCTCAGCTCTACTGCTCATCCCGCAAATGCATGTTCCTTACAAATGTGGCACCATTTAAAAGTGAAATTAACAGTGTAAGACTCATTGCCAAGAAGCATTGTTACAACAAAAAAAATAATCTACCAAACACAAGCTTCCTTACTTTTTGTGCTAACTTTAGTTGTGCAATAACCTGGCCCTTTCCTACAGTTCCACTCAATTCTAGTTTCCCTTCACTGCTTCATCTGGGATTTCTCCCATAGACAAGGATTTCTCCAGTAGAATTTTAACAGAAGGAGGAGTTTTGAACAACAATGTTGATTTTCTGCACCGTTTTAGTTTGCTTGTAATTGGCAGCAGAGGATGTGAATGAAGCCAGTCTGTGTTGACAAGACCTCCAAATGAAGTTAAAGTTGTCTCACGAAGCCTGCAGCTCTCATTTACAGTCACTTCATTCTGCTTGGTACTTCTCCCAGCAGCAGATGGTTGTTTACAGCGCACGTAATTTCCGGTTAGCTTCTTAGCTTAGCCTCCTTCACGGTCAAGCTGGTGCACTGCGTATGTCACGGCCAAATTTTAGCGATTGGGTAAATCAGATCCAGTCGTTTTAAACTTCAACAGAGGCCACGCCCCCAGCAAGAAATCATTTCTCTATGGCCGAGGTTCCAGACCCTCTGTACGAAGCAAAGTGTAGAACAAGGGGCTGGTTTTTACCTGGCTAGTTGTGCAAATGAGTAAGTCAAATCTTGCTGTTTAGGCAACATAAATTTGTTTAACTGCACACAAATTTCTCATCTGAGCTTATAATTATTGCACCATTATTGAAAAACAGTTGGTGTCAGAGTAATCTTAATACAGAATATTTAATTATAAATTCAGAGATTCCATTTTTAAAGTCAACAGTAATGTTATAAATGAAGTGTCTAAGTCTTTTGAAGCTGGACGTTTTGGTTTTGGATCTTTTTTTAGTGGGGGGTTGATGATTTAAGGATTTAAAAATGGACTTCTTTCTTATGTGCTTTCCCAGGTTTGCACGTTAACAAAAGAAGATAACCGATCAGTGCGCAATATTCCAGAGGATGAACAGCTTCATGTGCTGCCACTTTACAAGATTGCTGACAAAGATGAGTTTGGACACGTCGAGGGTCAGTGGGCCAAGATCCGAAGTGGCGCTCTGCAGGTTCTGTCCTCTTTTCCCCGAGAGGTGAGTGAGGGGGGCGGGAGAAAGCAGGTTATGGAGTTTAGATTTAATGTTTTTTTATTATTGGTTTAATTCTTCTGACTTTTTTGTAACGTATCAGGTGCGTTTACTGGCTGAGCCCGCGAAATCTGCCCGTAAGGTGAGGCAAGAAGCTCGGTTAAAAGCTCAAGCAGAGAGGTTGGAGAAGAAGCTCGGGCTGACTTCTCTCACTCCAGGAAAAGTGAAAACTGAGAGTCCCAACAAAGGTAGACAAATTAAACCCCTGGTCACAATTCAGTAATAGCTTTTTATCATTTAGCATTGTTTTTGGTTATGACTTCACTGATGGATGTTTTTTTTCTCTCTGCATAATAAAGATCCACAAGGTCTTTACAGCTCTTACAGGCTGCCACCCAGACCTGCCAGTGTTGGAAGATCCCCACTCGAAAGAAACCAACCCAGCGCTTACAGCCAGAGCACCAGCAACTACTCCCCTCCCGGTGCCGGGGTCACATCACAGAGGGGCTTCATCCCCGCCCACCACCACGCCCTGCCTGGCCTCCGGTTTGGACAGACCGGCTCAGCTGTAAATTATGAGACGATGAGCCGAACCATGAGTGGTTTTTCTCCAGCTTCCGATGAACAAGGTGCTCCTTTAGACCGTATACCTCCTCATAACCCCCACAGTGACGCTTCCTTTAAAACCGAGCCCAACGAGGTGCACTGCTCAGCTCTGCGCCGACTCTCCACCAGCGCTCCTCCTCCTCCTCGTCCCTCCTCCGTCTCCCCCCGACCGACTTCTGAGGGCCTCTTCAGCCGGCTCAGTGGACTCCCGCGGCCTTCCCAAGATGTGGCAGCAGAGGTCAGGGGTCACGCCCTTCCTCCGCGCACGCCTCCCCCCTGTCAAGGCCCGGCCCTCGTGGCCGAGGAAGCAAAGCCGGAAGAGGTGTGGTCGGACAGCGAGCACAACTTCCTGGACGAGGACATCGGTGGGGTCGCCGTGGCGCCGTCCCACGGCTCCATCCTAATTGAATGTGCGCGACGGGAGCTCCACGCCACCACCCCCATCCTCAAGCCCGACCGCAGCCACCCCACCCGCATCTCCTTGGTCTTCTACCAGCACAAGTCCCTGAACGAGCCAGGCCACGGGATGGCCATGTGGGATGCCAAAATGGCCAAGCGAGAGCGGGAGCGCGAGGAGGAGGCCGAGAGGCTGAGAACGGAGGGCAGCCCGGGCGGCGGCGTAAGGACGAAGGAGGAGGACGCAGGCGAGGAGACCGAGGGGACGGGGAGGGTTACGAACATCCCGACACGTCAGGCTTGGACTCTGTCGAGGGACGGCGTCATCACCGTGTCCCCTTACGCTCTCACACATGTGACGGGCCCGTACAGCCGCTGGACTTAGTCACAAAAAAACACTCACAATTCCTTTATTGTGTGCTTCTGCCTTACCTCAATCAGACTTCAACTCTCGGTTTTATGTCGTTTTCTTTGTACTTTTCTAATAACTTTCAACTTTGTCCTTCTTAGTCTCCGCCTTCATGATGATGAGAAGGACCAAAAGACTTTTTAATTGTTTGTTTTTTTGGAGGGTGGGTGTATTTTTAACTGTGAGTTTTGGTGCTGGTTTTTAATGTAATGAAATGGTGCTTTGAAGCATTTTAAAGATGTTTTTAAACTGGCTTTATATAAATGATTAAGAACAAAAAATATGTGATTATTTATTCTGATCTTAATGATTTCTATTTAATTTCTTGTGTGAGCCTGTTTACTGCAATATTTCTTTGATAACCTGCATTATGTTGTGCAGTAGGAGTGTAATGAGTCCGTGTTGGCTTTTATAATGGTGCCATTCTCACTGTAATCTCTTTTAAGCAAACTCATCACGTAATGTAGACTAATGTTGTGCGTATATTTACTACAGATTGTCACATGTAGCATCGTGCTTCTTCTTTCTGACTTCTGTTGAAGGCAGAAAAAGAAACGTACTTCTTTGTTCTTTTTTTTCTGACATTGGGATAGTTTCTATTTTTTCACATAGATGGCATATTTTAAAAAAAGCACTATGTTTATTTTCCTAAATTCAAAAACAGTCCACGGGCCTGAGTATGTATGTACAGACAGAGATATATACATATGAAATTTTAGCATTGTTTTTTACAGTACTTTTTATTTTATTTTATCTTTTTGCATTTGTTTGCTTTTCATAGATCTGTTTAAACTTTAACTTTGCTTGACAAGGAATCATGAGATGCTGCAGCAGTTAGGTGCTTACCACTTTATTAAGCTCCTGAAATGATTTTTTTTATCTGTAACAAGTAATAATAGGAAGCTTGCAACACATTTAAATGGTGCTTTTTTTTTTACAGAAACCACAAAGTGTCACAAAGATCAACACAACATCGCGGGCTTTAAACACGAAACGCATTAACTGAAAAATCTACTTGCCTCCTCTTTGCTTTTGTTTCAAAACCACTTTAAAACATCAGATCCCACTCAGATGACTGCCTACGAGGATTTCAAGTGCTCGATCCCTGTGATGACTTTGTTTACAGACTATTTTTATCAGTCTGAATAAAGGGGTTGACGAGTCACGATTTTATTTTAAACCCATGAAAGAAAATGTCTTCACTATAACACATCACGATTAGCACGACCCTTTAAAGGTATTTTACACTAAGGAGGACAGTGGTAACATTTCCACTAGAAACATTTTGGTGTTTTACACACTTCTGTTGGTGCTAATAAGATGTCAACACACTGATCGAACCCGGTTCTGTACTGTATAACAGCGATGACATGCTTTTTGGATCTCATCGGTGCATGAACATTCAACACAAAGATTCATTACTCAAGAGACAACAGACAGAGAAATGCATTAATCACAATGTTCGCTTGTGCAAATCTGCAATGTCTTCCGTAAGATGACTCGATTCTCCAGCATTACTAAAAAAAATATGAATACATAAAAGAAATGAATGTAAACGATACTGAATC